GCGCCGCCCGCCGGCCGCAGCGCGCGCTGCAGGTTCTCCAGCATGGCGGCCGCCAGCGCGTCCAGGGCGGCGCCCTGCAGCGTGCGCGAGAAGGTGCTCTGGATGTTCTCGCTGGTGTTGCCGTCGCTTGGGTCGATGCTGCGGTGCCCGAACGCCTGTGGGGAGAGGGGAGAGGTCGCGTTTGCCTCGCGCCTCGGCGGCCGCTCCTCGTGCCGCTGGCAGCTAAGGCACGCTACAGTTGCTAATGGGCACCGCTTTAGTCTGCCTTCTGCAGTGCGTTCTGTGTAGATGCTGGGCAGCACGGCTCAGGGCTGACAGGTCCTGAGGAAACGCGCAGGTGAGAACGGCGCGCTCCTAGCGGGAGGGCCCGGGAGTGCTGGGCGACTGCGGCTTGTCCGCGCCCCGACGCCCCGCGCTGTGCAGACCGAGCCTGGAGCCGAGCGCCGGCCTGCCGCCACAGCTCCATCCGACCCAGGGCAGCGTTGACTTTTCCTCTGCCCTCACTGGCTAGTCAGCAAGGGACAAATCTATAACCGTTGTGGGCTTTTTTATACTAGTGGGGTGCTGTGTCTATTTCGACTTATTATTGTATGATTCTTCACAATAGAGTGCCTTGCACCACCTCTGTCCTACAATGTAAGGGCACAAAAATTTCTAAATTCACTGATATTTTTTAAAACCTAGGAAACAATTCTGTATATATGTGAATGGAGTTACCTTGGCAGAAGTAGTGTAATGAAATTTTTTCCAGTCGAAATATTTTCCATGACACAACACTTTATGGTATGACAAAGAATTTGTAATGAAATGGACATATTTTCCCATTAGTTTGCAGGTGAACACATGACCGTGCTTCCTCTGATTTGCTCGGAGAAACTCAAGAGGATTGGCCCCAAATTTCAGAGCGCAACCCAAGTATGGAATCAGCCCATTCTCCAGAGGCGGTTCTCCTATTTTCCTGTGAGACATAAATATATGACAGATATGAAAAAATACATGTTTAATATCTCTTTGCATCAGGTTTTAAAATTCTATGCTAATTTCAAACTTCAAAATTCTAGTTTATAGATATTTCTTTTGTTCATGGGTCCATGCCCTTTTATTAAAATAATGGATTTGATTATAACATGATAAATATATAACATGATAGATTATCATGATAATCTATGCCAAGATATGTTAGAGAAAATGATTATTTATTTAATTCATCCGTCTATCCATCCATGCATTCACCAAGCACTTATTGAATGTTTATAGTATGCTAAACATTTTCACTAAAGACAGCAGTAAAAGGATCAACATTTACCATTGGTAATGTCAGCACTGAATAAGGAAACTATCATTATTTGTTTTCTTAGACTTAATAGATGATAGCACTTTTAAAATTTAAATAAAAATTTTTGTATAAAAATATTAAAGTGCATAAATCTAGAAAGCCAAATTTGTTTAGTAATAAAGGTAAAAGAATGCTAGATAAATGAGCTAAAAGAAAATTTAAAGAACTTTCCTTACCTTCTTCTTATTCCAAAATGGAACCACAAACAACTGCATACTACTACAGCAATCCCCCAGATCAAATATATAGTCATAGTCATCATTTTGCAAATCTGCAAAACTCCTAGGGAGGAGACACTGTGTGGTTAGAAAGGAAAGGATGGACCTGAACAGACTCAAGCTAGACTCTTTATAGACATGAAATCCTGTCCAATAATGAACTTTAGTAACTAAAGCAATTAATCATTTGTTCAGCCAATTAGGAAAAAAAAAAGTAGTATTAACTGTCCTTGAACTAAGTCCTTACTATCAGAAGAGGTTCCAAAACAATCAGAGACCTGCAATACTTGATAAGCTGAAGGTCATCTCAAACATATGTTGACTTAACTTTCAGACCTGGGGACAACAGCTAATATTAAGGTTGGCTATAAAAAGAACAAATGAACTAGTCCAAGATAAACATATATAATAAAATATTTAAATAAAAGTAAGCATGTTATGAGCCAAACTCATGATTTTATCTTGAAGGAATTAATTTCAGTAATTTACCAGAAAGAGTATAGTAAAGTTCAGAAAGAACTGGTACAATATTTCTCTTGATTCTTGTTTAGATAGTTTTTGTAAAACCAGATTGTTTACACAGATGGTAACACACTACCTCACATCACTAAGAAAGCATTCCATTTGAATACATCTTTTATGTACAGCACAGTTTGTTTTAAGCATCCACATTTTATGAATCATATTTGTAATTAAAATATATTAACTTTTCCCATCAGTGTAGTATATTTTATTTCAAAGAGCCTAAGACTAATAAAAGCAAATGGGGCTGGTGAGATGGCTCAGTGGTCTAAAGCACCTACTTAGAACAAGCTAAGCTGAGCAAAGCACAGGGACCCCGGTTCAATCCCCCAGCACCACATGCCAGCCAGCCCCGCCCCCTGGTGGGCTGAGCTGGCCACACACACACACACACACACATACACACACTAATAAAAAAAATAAATTTTTTTAAAAAGCAAATGTTGGTGGAAAGTGAATATCAATTTGTAATTTACCTCCTGTATTATGCCCACTTAGAAGTAACCACTGTAAACTTTTTGACATTCACCCTTCTAAACTGTATTTAACATAATTTTTGTTTTTGTTTTTATTGTTGCTGTGCTTGTGACTGAATATAGAGTTTCATATGCATACTTAGCAAGTGCTCTGACATTAAGCTATAGCTGCTCTAGCCTCAGCCCATGTACTTCGTATATTATTTGAGCATTATTAAGTTGTAAGAACTTTTTCAAGATACTCTAGTTTTAGGCATTAACATAGTTTTGTGCTGTCATGGAGACTCTATTCTAGTAGGGAGACAGATAAAGTATATGTAAAGAATAAAACAAAATAGGTGCAGAGCTACTAGAGGGTCTTGGTTACTCCTCTCTCATTGCTGGAACAAAATACCCAACATCCAAAGTTATTTAGCTCACAGTTAGTGTCAGTCCATACTCGGCTGGCTCCAAGGCAGAGTAGCACATGGAAGAGGGCAGCCATTAATGGCTGCAGAAAGCAGCGCAGAGCAAAGGGAGGCACAGTGGCTGCCAGCAGCTAGCAAGCCTCTCTCACTTCCTTCTGTTGTGTGCAGATTACCCATCCCGGAGTGATGTAGCACTCACACCCATAATCCCTGATTGGATCATGGATTAATCACAAACTTTAGAAGCCGTCCTATAGTCTGCATGAGGCTTTTGGGAAACACCTAGACACAAACCATAACATGGGGGAAGAGGCAACTTTGGTAATTAGAAGAGGTGATATTTGAGATCTAAATAACAAAGGATTGCCCGTGTGAGCATCAGAAAAAACATTCCAGGAAGAGGGAGCAGTAAATATAAAGGTGGTGAGTCATGGGTAAACTCATTATGTTTGAGAACCAAAAGGAAAGCAGGACAGACTGGAACAGAACAAGGGAAGTTGGTTAGGAGATGCCAAAAAAATCAGCTAGAACCAGTCCATGTAGGGATGACTGGGAAAGAGGAGAGTGGTTTCAGGTGAGACGGGTCAGAATACTGTTGTGGACGCTTGGTGTTTGGGCAGGCTGGTAGGAACCCCAGAGTCAGTTTCACATTGTCAGCTCTGTGTGAAGCTGACCCTAGAGATCAGCTAGCACTGGAGATGCAAATCCCAAGTCATGCTCAGCCTTTGGAGGCATTTAAAGCCAAGAGCCCAGACTCTGAGAACACATAATGAGAAAACATGGTCAAAGGAGTAGCCTTCAACACCATGCCATAAGGAACTCCAGTCCTAGAAGGCAGTCGAGAAGAGACAGGTAAGGAAGAACCAGGCTAAAATCCCAGAGCGTGTGGCGACACAAAGAAGCAAGAGTAGAATGCATGTGAAGATGAGTCTTTAACTGTTCACTTGCAACTCTGATATCAAGTAAGATGACAGACTGAACGTTGGTGTTGAGTATGTGGAGATAGCTGTTGACTCACATATAAATGAAGATAAGGTTAAAGACTATCACTGTCACTATGTCCTTAGCGTTCCACTTGGTAGATGTACTGTGATATATTTGACTGGTTCCTTATTGGTGGACATTTGGGGGATTATAGAATTTTAGTTTTGGCTAAGACTATAGGTTTAACTGCCTTAAAAAGAGACCACAAATCTTTTATTGTATGATTTATAACCATAAACAATAGTACCAGTCATCGTATGGAATTTACAGATTTTTGTCAGGATCTATTTAGACTTTTTAGTTATTTGTACACATTCAATATACAGGATTTTGACTGTTTTCTTAATTAGTATGTCTTTTTTGTGTGACTCATAAGAGAACTGAAACGTTAGGTGGCCAGTCACTGCATAGAATCACAGTTAGAAAAGATACCTGTTTGTTACAGTAAGTAACCTTGTAAGGTCACCTCCCCGCCAAATTAAAACACAAATGGAAAGAGAAGTACACTGTGGAACTTTCAATACTGTCACTGCAGATGCCTGTGAACCTATCATAATTTCAAAGTGAAAACATAGTCAAAGAGGTAAAAGAAAAAAACATTCAGGAAAACTTCCTTATGTCCTGTCTTCATCTGCTTTCAGGACACCACACACTCTTTTAAATGAAACCTGATTGTTGGTTCCCTTTTTTCTAGAGTTCCCTTTTCCTGCTCTTTCTACTCCTTCATTATAATCTTTTTCTACAAAGAAGAGATACACAGAAAAAGACAGACTTGAAGTCAGAGATGGTTGTGCATGCCTGTAATCTCAGCATTCAGGAGGCTCAGGCAGAGGGATCACTGTGAGTTCAAAGCCAGGCTGAGCTATGTAGTGAATTTAAGACAAACCTCAACTAAGAGAGTCCAAGGTAGAGACAGACAAACGCCAAGACCCAGAGAGACAGAAGTCTGACTGTACTTTTTCTTGTTACACATGGTTGATGTTTTTCCTTCTGCAAGTGTCACTAGTGCTAGCACATGTTCACAGAGAGTACTCCAACAGCCCTGATATGCGGCTTCTAAGTTGGGGTACGAATTCTGGCTTACCTCAATAATGTCCTGATGAGTAAAGTGCATAAGGTTTCATGTAAGAGGTTTTTTGTTGTTATTGTTTTTGTCCTTTTGAGACAGGGTTTTGCTGTCCAGTTCAGACTGGTCTTGAACTCACTGTGTTGTCCAGGCTGGCTTCAAACTCAAGGTGATCCTCCTGCCTCAGCCTCCTAAGTGCTGGGATTACAAGTCTGCACAACTGCACCCAGCCCATGTAAGGGTGTAAGGGTTTTTAGACCTTTTTCTCTATTTTTAGCATAGTGCCTGGTGCATTAGATACTGGATAAATGCAACCTCAGTAGCAAAGTCAGCTTCACTCTTCTTTCTTGTTATAGGTCTAGATTATAATTTGTTCCTGAGTCAGTTTTGATAGGTTATAGCTTTAGAAATGTACCCACTTATCATATTTGCATAGAACTGACATTAGCATTCCTTTATAGTCCTTTTTTATTTCTGATAATATTGTCTCTTTTGTTATTGACTTTAATAATTTAATCTGTACTTCCCCTAAGTTTTGTTATAGATTTATCCCTCATTTTAGTCTTTTCCAGGAACCAAAGTTTTAGGCTAGTTGATTTTTTTCTATTGATTTTCCTTACTGTCATTTTAGTCTCTCTTACTGCCTGCTTTAGATTTTCCAAGTCCTTATTTTTCTAGGTTCTTGAAGTGAAGCTCGTTATCTTTATTCAGTTATAATATAGGTATTATAGTTATGTTTTTCTATAAGCACTGCTTTTGCCACATCCTGTAAGTTTGGGTTTGTTATGCTTTTTGGTAGGACTCATTGGTCTCTCTGGTCCCCAGCAGAAAACAGCAAGAGAATTTAGAAAATAAAAACAAGAGACAAAGGCTGAGATCAGGTGGAGGGCTGATTGCCTGATGAACAAAGACATGAACGACAACAGTAGGGGTTGTTTGTTTATAGTCTTGCAGTTAGTATCATGAGACACAATGTTGCCTAGTAACTAATGACTGAAATTGTCCAAGCAGAATACTTTTCTCAAGACTGAGGTAGCTTATCTGCTTTAGGCACTGTGGCCTTGTCCTGCCTTCACATACATGACCAGTTTCCAGCTTTCACTGCTCCCAGGAGCCCTCTCTTTTCTATTTTGGTGCATAATGATGGCTGTTCAGTTGCAGTTAGAGAAGCTGTATTTGGAGAACTCTGTAGAACACCTTTTTCTTTCTTTCTTT